AACTTCCAAGAAAATCCAAATCGACCGGTAGACTTTGCCCCTTCGTTGTTGGTTTTGATGAGTGCAAGTGACGTAGATGATTAAAACAATGGTTTATTTAAAGTACATGACAAAGACAGAGAAGGTAAGAAAGCCGACGTAACGTTTTGGTGCGGGCAGGCACTCCGCCGAACACGCTCGCGCGCGCGCCACCGAATCGTTCTATTCTTGGCCAAAATGAGCGCTGCAGAGGGACTGACCTCGCGCGGTTTCGGGGCAAAGCCATTGCGTCATTAAAATATACAGCAAGTCATATACCGCCAGAAAGTAGAGGAGTGCCTCCTTGTCATGAGCTGGATGTCCTGTTGGTTTGCAATCTGCAACTAGGTGAAAATACGAGGAGAATTTGTACCAAAATTACCCCTTTTCCAATCATATTATCGACATGATTTAGGTATACCATCGGTTTAAAAAGTATATACAAGCTAAAAGGAAACCTTGAATACTGTACATAACTTAAAGTTGTGGGGATACGTGGTTGCGCACGTCTGTAGTGAGCTTTCGTTTGAGCCGTGTCAACGCCCGCGCGCTTGGAACGGACTACTTTCTCTCGCGGAAGGAAAAGAAAACTGCATAGAACTCTCGGGATGGCGTGCCGGCTGAAGATTAGTAAAGCTTTCGAGATTCAAAGTACTTGTTGTTGCATCTTTGTTCTCATATAGCTACTACAAATGTATTTAATTCATTTACCAGAGAACCTTTGCCAGTTTTAAACTGGGGTAAGTTTGGAATAGTCCACTTTTGCGTGGGAGGGAGATGGACTGAAATATGCTGTATTTACTCCCAAGCAAATGTCGGCCTTTCTAGTTGGTCTTTTATCCTCCCAGGGCTTGGATCTATAATAAGTGAGTTTGTGGAACCAGCAGTTGGACCAGTACATTTACAAATGTATTACCACAAATAATTATTGTAGTATGACATGTAACTTAAGTAGGAAGTGACAGAAATGATAGTGTACTGTACTAAAGGATTATATTCTGTGAACATGACATTGTGAAACATTATTGTGCACATTGGAATGAGTTGAAATGTAGGATTTTGCTTGAGATTGTACGATAACTACTTAGTATCCAATTGTGACATGTTTTGTGGTCTTCGCAGGGTGAGGATGTGCGTCTAGACCCTAAACTGATGCATGAGTGTCACGATGACATCAAGAAGCACTGTGACACGGAGCAGGCCGGGGACGCTCGCATGCTGGAGTGTCTGAAGAGACACAAGAAGAAGCTGTCCGACGGCTGTCATATCAAACTGTTTAACCGTGAGCGGGAGGAACTGACTGATAACAGTGTGGACTATGGCTTCATGAGGGACTGTAAACCCATGGTGAAGGTAAAGCTCAAGTCAAGCTGTTTCATTCAAGTCCCTTCCATGTATGAAAATATAAAGAAAGAGCATGAAAGTGCTTCAACTCTATATGTGTTTTTGCCATTTAATGGGAATAACAGTGATAACTGTTGGTGTTTTGTCCTCCCCAGCGGTTCTGCCCCCAGTCTGACCCTAAGGACGTGTTACACTGCCTCAGGAAAAACAAGAACAATGAGTTCATGGATGAAAGGTAACAACTACAAAATGACTGTGTCAAGATGTGATTGACAAATTTTGACTTTGTGTGCCATGTTCTAAGGAAGAAAGAAAACAATATTACTGAGTCGTCTTTTGTATTTGTTGAGTAGGAATTTGGAAAATTCCAGAATAGAAAAAAACAGTTAAGCTCCAAAAATTGTAAATAAATTGCCCATGCTCTAAATTATTATGTATTCTTCTTCCCACTGCCTAACCCTGTAACCCTTACAAATCTGGTGCCAAACAGCTGCCTTAGCATGCTGAAGGTTAAATGGGAAATAAAGACTTTACATAATCCCAGTGTGATAACAGAGTGAAGATCAAATCTGATGGTCTTCACTTCTTTCCCTTCAGATGTAGGAAAGCTATCACACAAAGACAGATTGAGCAGGCCGAAGACTACAGGCTGGATGTTGAGCTGCAGAAGAAGTGCAAGAAAGACGTCCCTAAGTTCTGCAGGGACATCCTGGCTGAAGCAAGGTCAACAGAACTGGAGGGCAAAGTCATCGGCTGCCTCAAGGCCAAAGTGGGCAAGAATGTGCGTATTGTTTCCTGATAGTGCTCTGATTTTCATTTTACCCTGGAAATTGTCAGCTACAAGTTATAACTTCTGCTAATTACAATCTAATGTGTAGCACAGTTGAACCACATTGTGATATAAGGAGTAACAACAAAATAGGAAATTGCTTTTCTATAACACTTCCAGCTCGTTAAAGATTGTATTGAAGATTAACCATATCCCTACTAACTTACATTGAGTGTATTCAGCCTTCAGCAGGGAGAAGGTTAACCATGAGGTTTGAATTGTCCCTGTTCCTCCATGCAGCGGCTGTCTCCACAGTGTGAGGACCACATTAAAGAACTGATGAGGGAGGCAGCCATCGACTACAGGATGGACCCACAGCTGGCACAGGGCTGTATGGAAGAGGTATGTGCTCAAACCTGCTGGGTGGGAGGGGGGTGGGGACTACCAGTACTCCGTGAGGATATGATCTTCATACTGCAGGAATAGTTTCATCAAGTTGATATGTTATGGGAAAATAAGAGTGGTGATAATCACATCATCCCAGTAGACCAACCAAGTGACCAGCAAAATTATCATCCATATGATAAGGCTTATAGCATTGGAACAAATGACTTTTTTGAAGGACGTACATGTAGGCACTGCCCCCGAGTTGTAGAGAAAAATATAGAATTTAGACAAGAATGACTGATTTTTCCTTCCGTGTTTAGATGACCAAAATGTGCAGCGAGGAGATGACAAACCCTGAGACTGGCAGTGTGGAGGAGTGTCTCAAGAAAAAGTTCTCTGAGAAAAATAAATTCAGCAAAATGTGCCAGACGGTAAGTTCTTGACTAATGATGTTGATTGAGTAGTGTTATGGTTTAAAGCTTTTGTTATTAGTTAAATGCCAAAGGTAGTAAAAAAATTCAAATTCATCAGCACCATTCAATGACTTGATTAGCTGAAAACCAAGAATGCAAAATCCATAACAACTCTATTTCCTTGTGATAGCCAAGCTGTTTATTCTTATCCAGTCACAACATTGTATCATGTAGTTACTGGGCTTGTTTGTTGTCTTACAGCAAGTGTTACGGTTGCTACAAGAAGGGAAGGCTGACATCCATGTCGATCCACTACTGCACCAGTCCTGTGCACTGGACATCAAGCACTACTGTGCAGGGATACCGGCCGGGGAGGGCAGGCGTGAGTACCTCTCTTCCTCTCTCTTTCTGTCTTACCATCCTACTTCTTCCGTTTTCATTTTGATCAGCAGTTTCCTCAAGCCCTGTAATCTCCTGCTGTTGTGTTGTACAGAAATGTCCTGTCTGCTGGAGGCACTAGAGGACAGAACTGTGCACCTCCAGCGAGACTGTGAGGAGAAGCTGAAGAGCAGGGTGGAGATGTGGGAATATGCTGCTAAGGTAGGATTTCAAATGTGTAATTTGCAGGTGTAGAAATTTCCCATTTACATGAAGGAAACATGTACCATAGTTTAGCTTGCTGCTACATAACTATCAACATGATATTCTTTGATGTCATAAATTTCCCTGGGATTGTGACTCATTTGTAATACTGCTGTGTTGTTCTTTTAAGGTTGCTCCTCCGGAGACCTTTAACGAGCTAATGGTACAGATGTCGGCATCCCCAGCGAGAAATTATTTCGTGGGTGTAATATGTGGAGCAGTCCTCATCATCCTCTGTTTGGGAGTGCTTACAGGCAGAATGACGAAAAGGGTTCGAGCGGAACTTAAGAACCGGTAGCGCTAGTCCTGCACTGGCCCCCAGTCTTTCACCCTGCAGTAAACAAGGCTCAAAGTGGCCATGAAACATGTTGTGTAGCTCATGCTCCTTAGCTATCAATCTAAAACATTGGGTACTGTTTGTGTATTTTCCCATCCTACAGAATGGACTGACTGCTTACTGCCTTTAAAGTAGATATGACTGATAGCTATGGATCCAGAGCTATACAGCAGTGGTATTCATTCATCACTGATGTACAGACTGTAGATGTTAATGGTAGGGAAGGGGTTACTGGTTGGGAAGTGTGATTTTTCAACCTGTCCTGTTCCCATGTATCAACATCAACTCTTTGTACTGTAGACTACAGTAGTTGTTTCCATGTATTGAGCTACGCTACGCTTGGTGTCATACACAGCTTGCTGGTCAAATAAGAGATTTTTGCTCTTGGCTTTATTTGCTTGTTTAGCACATTATCAGCCTACGCCAATTTCTTACAAAACCGCTTTCTTGATCAGCCTGTGCCAATTTCATACAGAACTGTTTTCATGATCACTGTCATGCTAATTCTGCCTTGAAATCTTATTTTGGGACTGTTCGAAAGAACACAATATATGTTAAACTGAAATTCATAGAATGCTTTTCTCCAATTTGAGGCTTTTGCCTGCTACATGCAGTAAATATGTATACTTAATGTGATTGTTCTATGATTCTCCAATAGCGTGTATATTTTGAGATAATGGTAACAACTGCTTTGCTGTCATTTCAGTTTGGTGAAGTGCCTTCACCTGGTTACAAAATACTCAATGAATAGTTGAATGTGAATTACTGTGGCATATTGCACAGTAGGATGCTGGAAAAGTATGTGCTTTGCCCTGTTCTGTAGTGTAGTGATGATTTTGAATGATTTTAGAATTGAGAAAACATTCAGAATGGAAACTAATTAATGGCTCTGCTTTATTCCTGACATACAGGGCAAATATTAGGAAATATGAATTTTGAATGTAAAATGTGGAATTTTGTTGACTGTGGCAATGAAGCAATTAATGCAAAATTCCAATTTGATTTTTTTAATGATTTAGGACTAATGCTGACGCATCAGTCAAGTCATATCAGCCAACACAAAAATCTCTGTATCTTGTGTTTTGATTAGATACCGTGCCTTGTAAACCTTCTAGGTGTATTGGCTGACACATCGCTGTGGAGTACAGTAGTGCAGTGGCTTACTCGGCCCACCAGGGACGACAGATGATGATGATGAGGTGTTTTGAGTTGCCACCGCATGTTGCTAAGGCTCAGATTTGATTATAGTCGTTACTATGAAACAGTCCCAAATTGTTCAAAAGGATGTTTTATGGACATCATCATAAACGCAAACCACAAAAACCACAAATAGAATGTTTGAACAACAGTCCAACTCTCTATCTTGGACTGAATATGATTGTTTTTGTAAAAGTATTTTGTAGCTTGTTCTTTTTTCTAGCCGTGGTTAAGTTGTAGATGGATACTTTGCGTACATTGTAGACACTTTGTTCTTCGAATCCTATGCATTGGCATTAATATTGATATTTCCCTGTTGGGAATTGATCTGTTATGGGGAGGGCCAAAATCTGCACCTGATTTGCAAAAAGCTTGCTCATTTAACATAAAACCATGTTGCCCCTGATTCAATCCAGCTATGGACATCTTAAACTTGAACCACTTTTTCTGTGTAGTTCTGGATAGAATGCCACAGTCACTAAGTGAGATAAAGCAAAAAGCTGTGTGTAACCATGTCAGACCTTAGGCTGCCTTCTTCTTGGTTGGAAATGTTTGATTATGGTGAAGAGGTTTAAACAATAAACAGAAATGTATACAGTTCTGGGGGGATGTTGTATAACATATATTCTCTTGCCAAGGAACTCATATTGTATGACATTGAAGCTATATTCAGGAAGAAATGACATGAATGTGTCCAGCTGTGTTATTTTGTGTCTAAGTATGTTCATATTATACACAAGACCTAAACTGGCTTTGGCATTAAGTAGGGCAGATGTCTGTGCATGTCACTGTTGAGTTCATGCCATTTCATCAGTATTTCCATGTCACAATTGTTTAAGTGAGAGGCTTGCTTTTCAAAAGTTACAGATTTTTTAATGGTAAATCTCGTTTGAGTGAATGTAAAATGAGCCACTGAGGAGAGTGCAGCATTTTGATTTAGAATTTGCATTGGTAACCTAGTCATACTTATAAGTGTATGGAGCTGAGCATGCTTGTATTCCTGTCAACATCTATAAGGTAAATCTCTGATGATGGGATTGGTAGAGGGCATGTAGAAATATGATAGATATGTACAGGATCCTTTCTTCAAAGACTATTTTCTTCTTGTGATGAGATTTTTTGCCTTGATGATGTAGAGAATGTCAGTCAACAATTTGTGGAGTCTCTGTTCAGGTGTACATGTAGGATAATGGTCCCTGGGGAAGGCAGAGACTCAGATTATTGTTTGTAGAGGTGTAGCTGCTATTCAAGTTTTGTCGATTCTTTAATCAGTAAATAATATTCAATGGTATTGCATACTCGTCAAGTACACTGTAAATGTTCATAATATTGAGAGAAGTTTTTGGTTATGATACAGCTGATAGGAAATGTCATATATTGCCAGAAAAGATGATGACTGATATCTAGTAACATCTGTCCTCCCCAGGGGCTGTATTGAAACAGGGACTTCAGAAGTTCAGTAGCAACTTTTCTAGTGTATGTGCCTAATTTGGAATCCTCTGCTGTATTGTATGTGAAGAAGATGACAGGCTTAATTTTGTATGTAGTGTAGATGGGAGCTGTCACTTTACTGCTTTAGTGTCAGGTCAAGAGTTTCCATTGCTGCTGTTTTGAATGATGCCACTACACTTCCTCTGAAGGGAGGTACTGGGGTACGTAAATGTTATCAGCCATGATGCACAGATAGATTATTAATGGCAGGGACCAGATACACATATACATGTAAGGTATGTTGTACTTACCCTGTACCCAGTGTACTTTATACCACTGCCTCCAGACATGGCTTTCATTAGCTAGGACCCATTAAAAACCTCTGATCAAGAGAGATGGCTGGCACTTTGTCAAAATAGTGATAGCCACCTGTCTCGATCAGATCTGTCAGGCCCTTGGACGCAAATATTGCTATGCCTGGAGGCAATAGTAGAAACACTAAGGGCAGCAAAAGTTCAACATCTCCAATTAGTACATGTGTATGTGTGGGTATTTCATGCTGGGACACAATCTGGTAGAACTAGCTTGATGAACAAGCCATGAGCTGGGACTCATTGGGTGGTTTGAGATTGAGTTTTCATCAGCTGTTTTTGTACATAGAAACATAGGCTAGTGAACTCTACCAGGATACTTAACACTTCTAATGGACCAAACATTTCCTACATAATCATTGAACAAGTGTCTCTTTTCACATGCCCTGCCTATTTAGTACATGTGCTTAAAGCAAGTATGTGTAAGTATGTTCCTTCAGAGGAAGTGTGGTGATTTAGCACATAATTTCATTCTGTATGTTCAGTATTTCAATTTTTGGTGTCGCTGCCCCAAACTGTACATGGTGTATCTATTTCTTTGAACAATAAACTGCCTTTACAAAGTTGCAGAGTACAGCTTATGTTTGTTAACTCTATAAATGAAAAGATTACTGTATTGTAGTCAAAATTCCGTGGTAGCTATTATTTCTAAAGACATATTTCTCAGCAGATCTGGAACTTCTCAATGATTTTTGACTGCTATCTTTTTTATTTAAAATCATAATCAGTACTGCATTCTATCTAGTGCCTGTTTGCATGATTTACAGCTTTTTAGTTCTTTTGACACAATGATGGACAATTTTTTAACAACATTTCACATGCTTTGCATTGATATACAGTTCAGAGCCAAGGACAAGTCAACGAGCCTAAATGGATGGTGTTCAGCACCAAGGACAGGTATCCTAAATTGTGTTCAGTACCAAGGACAGGTGTCCTGGGTTGTGTAGATAGTGTTCAGTACCAAGGAAGGTCTCCCAGATTGTTTTCAGCACCAAGGACAGGTATCCTGGATTGTGTTCAGCACCAAGGACAGCTCTCCTGGATTGTGTAGATGGTGTTAAGCACCAAGGACAGCTCTCCTGGATTGTGTAGATGGTGTTCAGCACCAAGGAAAGGTCTCCTGGATTGTGTAGATGGTGATCAGCACCAAGGAAAGGTCTCCTGGATTGTGTAGATGGTGTTCAGCACCAAGGACAGGTCTCCTGGATTGTGTAGATGGTGTTCAGCACCAAGGACAGGTCTCCTGGATTGTGTAGATGGTGTTCAGCACCAAGGACAGGTCTCCTGGATTGTGTAGATGGTGTTCAGTCCTGAGGACAGGTCTTTCAAAGTTTCAAGTGATCTGATATCAATGAGGCTGTGGCAGAGAAACGTTTCCCAGCAATCTCAACCTCAAACTTGTTCTTTGTTATGAAGTCATCAGTGACTACCCTCCCCTCTTCCTTCATGGCATCTTGGTCATGCACAAAACCAAGGCAGATCTGTGGAACAACACAAACCATTTTACTCACATTTAGCACAACTGTGACAGCTGCCAGAAGCAGCCATAGTTTTGATTGTTTAGGGAGAAGCCCAAAGGTTTGTAGAAAATTCAAAGTAAAAAGTCAATTCTAAATTGATAGAAGTTTTATTGGGCAACTGAAAGCAAACCTGTTTCTTCAGAGTGTATCCATAGCCTGCTGACGTCGTCCTGCCAACGACCCTTCCACCCTCCCAGATTGGCTCCCCTCCCCAAGGCCAAAGGTCATTCTCCAGGTCATGATTGTCCAATAGGAACATGACAAATTTCTGCCTCACTCCCTCCTGCTTCTGTTTGAGCAGGGCAGATCGACCAATGAAGTCCTGCAGTTATGAAAATGAATGGTATAGAAAGTTGCTCTGTTGTACAAAACAGCAATTGTGCCATGTTTTACTCAAGTGAAAGTTCGTTTTTGGTCATAATAAGGTAAAAATGTTTGTTCCACCCAAAAGGACAGATATAACCGTCTACACTCTTCACTTGCTTTACAACATCCAATTTTGAATCATGTAAGTATCCAAATCAGTGATGGTGCATTAGGACATACATAACAACATGCATGCATATCCTACCTTGTCTAATTTGACACTTTGCTCCTGATGGCATTTAAATGGCGTGACAGATGGATGAAGGTCAGGTCCCAGTGAAGGAATACCATGTTCCAAACACAGGTGAGTGATGGCATAGTGGCCTACATTACGGATCCCAAATGCTCTGCCCCTCTTCATGATGTAGAAATAGAGGTGTAGCGCATACTGTAAAATCAGATACGTTGATTTAGTTTTTGACCGGCATACAATCAACACATCTTTGGACATTGAACTGAACTGAAAAGATTGCAGCTCTTTAATCTTGCATCAGTAACTGTTGCTGCTTTCTATAATACTACCAAAACTGCTTTAGTAGTATACTGAAAAAATGGAACAGGTTGCATGATTGATATTAGTAAGGTGAGCATTGTGAAAGTTACATGTAACATTAATTTTACCTCTAGTGGTACGTACAACATCCATCCAAGCTCTCCAACATGACTGATGGTCATGACACGAACACGCGGGGCAAAACCAATACACAGCTCCTGTGACAAAGCCACACACAGTTAAAGCCTTACGTGTAGTACAACAATACTGCAGTTTACCTGAACTTTGTGATCTTCATGCTGGTGAACTTCCAGCACTTCTCAATTATCCAATCAATGGATGATTCAAATGCTGCCACTACTATTGTGCAAAATCTTTAAAGATTGCAGCCTCCTACTTTGTGTTAGATATTTACTATGTTTCTCTCCTACAAACAAAATTAAATTTGATGAGACTGACATGATCATACATGTAGTTATACGGTTTGATTTGCATGGCAGCTCACCCTGCAGACATTTGATGGGAAGTTATGGCTGCTCATGGTGACCACATCAGTCAGACTAGCCATCAGCTCCCTCGTCCTGGGACCAAGAACGTTGAAAGCAGCGTAACTTCGCGTCACGTCCATGATCCGTACAGATCCATCGCTAGGGAGATGGCGGTTTAGCCACGCCCAGCTCCGCACCATCTGATTGGGTGGGGACATTATGACGTAGCTGCAAATAAAAAGGTCAAGCCTGCTTTGGCAACAAAAGTGGATGCCGAAAATACATTTACAAGCTGGAACTTATCTCCAACAAAAGAGCAGTAAACATTAATTTGTTTTTTTGTTATATTGGGATGTTCTTACTGATTGTTGGCGAGTCGAGCTATCCTGCAGTCATTCTCGTAGCCTCCATAGTGGTTGAGCATGCCGGTATGCAGCACTGTCCCCACCGGAACATCCACCTCATTACAGCACAGCCTCTGTAGGTACGTCACCACCTCATCACCTGCGGACTGCACAAAAGAAATCCACATTGACTTCTTGCTGTGATCTTTGTTATGTTTAATCTGACTTCAAATATTGCATGAATGAACCATTTATAAAGCACAATCTATGCTATCAACATATGGTATCCTTCAACTGACCTGTACTTCAAATTTAGTAAGTGAAGACATGTCAACGATTCCAACATTTTCACAGCACACAAAGTACTCCCTTCGCACAGCTTCAAACCAGGACGGCTTCCCAAACGTCCCTTTTGTCGGCTTGTTCAACTCCATGAAGTCATCTGAAACATAAAATTGGACACATTAATGTAGAAGGGGTGATCACAATATGAAAGTTCTTCACAGTCCTACATTGTAGTCATACAATACAGACCAAAAAGCTACCAGTATAAAAGGGGCACAGAATTAACCTGTAGGCAGTTAAAACGTGTGTCAGGAATTTCCCACAGGCAAGAATGGGTAAACATATGCTGTAGATAAGTACCTGAGTCTGGCCTAGAGAACCAGTTGGGTCTCTCATATCCCATGGTCTCCCCAAACACAGCCCCTGCCCTCTCCAGGAGAGGGTGCAGAGGTGACATCAGAACCCTTCGGGCTGTCCGGAACTCTTGCTTTGGGTAGGTTTGTTGGTAGTGCATCGCTGTCGGCCACGAATGCAGGTTTTTCAATTATTAACCAAAAATCTAAATGCTAAACACTTCATTCCTCCCTAAGAATGTTGTAGAGTGGGATTCCTTATCACAATACCTTAGTTTGTTCTAAAGGTTTAAACAGTGTTCTTAGGTACATGCATGCAGGCATGCAGGGTTGAACAATGACTATTGTAAACAATGAAATCACAAGAAATTAAGACGACTTTGAAAAGACACAACTTTTAATACAGATCTACAGTAATACAGATATCAATGGGGAAATATGAGCTTAGTATTGGGGTACATATAAAGAAAAATAACTCACGTAAAATCTCCTTCATTCTTTCCCTGAGGTATCTCCTGTTGTTGTGCATCTCTCCAAACCTGCGGATGTCGACCGGCCAGGTGCCAGCAGGAGGGTCCCCTGAGATGATCCATTCAGCCATGACCTTCCCCACACCACCTGCACTGGCGATTCCTCCTGAGTTCATCCCGGCAGCTACAAAGTAGCCTGGCAGCTGCAACATCAGTTTCATAAGTGGTACATTTAGTAAGACATTTACTGCAGGAAAAAGCATTCCTCCTATGTTGTGCACCCCCCTACTGTACTTAACATCACCCATCCTTGGCTGATAAATAGTCACTGTGACCCACCTCTGGTGCTTCCCCCATTATAGGTGCCATATCAGGGGTGAAGCTCTCTGGCCCGTTTAGAAATTGTCTGATCTCTGCATCCTTGATGGCTGGCATTCGGTGTATGGCCTGCTCCATGATGGGCACTGAGTGGAACAAGATTTGGTCTTTGTGAGTGATTCTAAATGCCAGGTCTTGGGATCTTGGAAGCAAGACATTCTAGAATCTACCTGAACTTAAATCACATTGTAATCTATTGAGATTCACCTATTGTGTCAGAACTCATTAGCAAGGAATAAAAAGTATCTGACTTACTGAAGTGGTCCCAGTCTTCCTCTAACAGTTGGAACTCAAACTTTGGTGGGATACCCTCTGTGAAGATCGGTCTGGGATTCATTTCAAAACCTCCTACCATGACACCTCCACTCCACTCACGTGTGTAGTGCATGCCATCAGGGTCCCTGATAACTGGACGGAGTACAGGATACTTGAAACAAATGTGTGCATACTACATTGTACCATCTAAAGCCACGCACATGCAAAATGGACATTATGATATACATCAACCAGTCTAGATGAGATTTATAAAGAGAAAAGTAAAATTCTGGGATCAGTACCTGGCTGGTTCTTGGTCACACCAGGGAAAGGTTTCGTCACGACATAGAAGTGTTCACAGGAATGCAGCGGTACTCGAACAGTTGGACTGGACAGTTGACCCAGCTGCCACGCCCACTGCAATGGATAAGAAGAACAATCGCACAGTTCTGAAGACTAAAGTTTTAATTACATGTACATCTACAGATCCTACTCTCTGGTACACTATATTTGGCTCAGTGTATCATTTACCTAGCAAATACTAGTACAATATAAATGAATAAAGGCTACTGCTTGCTCTACAAACTGACCCTGTACAAGCATGTACAAATGTACTGCCAGCTGCAGCCAGATCCAAAATGCTGGTCTCATAATGTTCAGCCAGGAAAACTGTAATATCTCGTCCTAGTCACAACCCACCTGTCCAGCACAGTTGACTAAGTATTCACATCTGATGTCACCCCGGTTGGTTCGGACCCCCGCCACCCTGCCGGCGTCTGTCAGGACGGTTTCCACGGCAACCTGCTGGTGAATCTGCACCCCTGGATTGTAAGGAATCATGGGATAACTACATGGTGTTCTCATGTCCCCAAATAGATGGATTGTCACTGAAGCAATCATTAAATCTTGAAAGTTCATCTGTGTTGGTAGACTTCATCATGCAGGAAGTAGATTGATTGCTCATTCCTTGCCAAAGACTGGCCTTGTACAGTCGAGCATTCTTGTGTTGGAAATTACAGTTTAAATTTCCCGCATAATTATTAAATATCTTTTATCCTTGCATAATATTTTTAAGTGGCCCATTGTAACTCACTGTAAGAAACTTGGTCCAAATGGCCAGAAGAGGTGTTTCTACAGTTACAGTAGTGATTTACAACTAGCAATATTTGACTTCTTTGAGACTTTCGATCCCCTTCAACCCCAGAAGCCTGAACTGCCAACATTAGAAGCCCACCTTGTAACGTTGCTCCCTTTGCCAGAGATTGCATCACATCAGAAGGTGTTGCCATCCCGTCCCCGGGAATCCACAGGGCACCCTTCAGGTCATCCACCCTCAGCAGGGGAACCTGAGCAGCTACGTCATTAGCGCTGATCATCTCACACTGGACACCTTCTGCTCTGGAGTTAAGGAAAAGTCTTAAGTTTGTGATCTCCACTTTATGATATCCTCTGGCTAGATGGGAAGTCCTGGCTGTATAACTTACTATACAGTACAATAAATCAAATCATATTACAAATGCACTTCAGGGACTTTTAGTGTCTAACATGTCTAAAAAGTGTCTAATAACCAATCCAAAGTGTCCAACCATCATCTCCCAGTAATTGTTTTCTACTTTGTGATGTAATCAGATTCGATGGTTATTTTTTTAAAGTCAGATTTATTTCTCTTAGAGCTGACATTACAGCCCAGGTGTTGACATTAGGTTTTATTACCTTGCAGCAGCAGCAGTTCTCCTGAGGTAAATCATGCGGTCTGTTGTCCTGGCCAGGGACATGGAGCCACACTGTCGCCAGCCTACAAGGATGCAGAAACACATGTACAGCAGTCATGCAGATTTGCTGTGATATTAGCTATTCACATTTCCTATTCCTAGGTTTAAAGGTATTGTAGATCAATAATACTGTCCTATATTGGTCCTGACAGAGTTGGCAAGCAAAAAAACTACTGATGATCTAGCAGGGTTTAGTGAATTAGGTGAATTTGATGTCATTGAGGAGTGTGTGTAATAGTAATACCACTGACCAGTGCCTAGGCCTGTTTCCTCTTCCAGAGTGGCATAAAGCTGTGTGCTGTACTGACATATGTTGGTGTGGAGGGTATTCGCACGCATCTGACCCACCAACCCTGCTGAATGCCATGTTGTGCCACATCCCAAGCTGTAAGAAAAAATTTGTTGTCACAAAACATACAATAGAATTCTGTTGCTTACATTTTAAGGATTTTGGTCTCTCTGATGAGATCTGTAATTTATTGGCCAGTAGATATGACTATTAGGACATTTTAAATGCTTGAAGAACTCTGTTACCTCCCCTGTTCCAGCAGCACCACGTCAGTCCAGCCAGACTTGGCCAGATGATACGCCACCGAGCAGCCGATGACCCCTCCACCAGCGATCACGACCCGTGCCTCAGACGGCAGCTGTACACTTGCTGAGCTGAGTTCACGGCAGCTAGATGTTGTCCTCACATATTTCACTGTACAAAAATGTAGTAGAGATTTCTTTTGTCACAGACAGTCTACATCAATTACATCCATTTATGCAAACTAAGTATCAGTTAGAACATCTGACATACATTGTTGTACCATGTACATTGTCATGCAATAAAGTTCTTCATTTCATATATGTAACGTTACATTAATTGGGCTAAATTTTTATTTACTAACAATAGTGTTCATGTGTTCATATAAGATAGGCACAAAAAACAGTCAACTTTTGTCAACTTTTGTTATTGATGCAGTTGAATTTTAGCCTTGGTACCATCCTACTTGCTTCCCTAAGAAGTAGTCTGGAAACGGTTAGATCTATTTGGTTTGGTGATGATGTCACATAATGAGGTAGGCCACATGGGGAGGGCTGGGCGGAGCCTCTTCCACTAGATGACCCATCAGTACAAAAGTCCATGTGGCCATGTGCTGTTTTGGTAAGGGTAAAAAAAGTTTCTGCTGATGTGTGACAAGTACAGCCTCAAATTTACCTCGAGTACAACCATTTCTTGTAGTTTTCTTTAAGCAAGATGTTCTTTGTGGCTTTGTTTAACTTCAAATGTTAGCAAAATCATGACAACAGTGCCTCTCAAGGGCTACTCCACTCCGTCCAAGATAAATAAGCAACTCCTTCCTTGGTCAGTGATACCTGCTGGGCAGGCAGGAGATAAGCATCACCACATACTGAGAAGGACGTTAGGCTAATGAACAAGACAAAAGGGACCAATCAGCACACTCGGGGCAAAATCTGACCGAGCCAGCCGGTTCAGATGTAACCATTTCCAGACTACTTCTTAGGGAAGCGAGTGTGGGAGCCCCGTTATACAAGTAGGATGGTACCCAGGCTAGTTGAATTTGACTGAATTTGTTTATTGCACACAACTACATATGCATACATGAACCACACACCTATTGCTTGATTTTCAGCCACACCAGGGCATTATGCTTCGCCCCTGGGGCGTTACCAAAAATATTTCCACTTTGTATACAATAGCGCACACTGACGCGTGACCTGTATTTCTGATCTTTCCCAGAAGTGCTGTCATGTATTTTAATGACAGCATTTCTCTTGTTGCCCATCGTTTCACAAATCCTTTTTTGTGCTTTTGAGGATCGAGGATCAGACACAGCATGGACACACTGACACTGTGCAATTACTTATATGGTCACGCCCACCTCTGGCCAGGCCTCGTCCCCCTATCGACCGCCTACTGGTCGGTTTACCAACACGGGTTCTCAAATTACGCGGTTTTACAACGCACAACAACAACCTGTTACGTTTACACTGGGTCAATAGCACTGTTCGTCCCCAGGGATCAAGTATAAACCTCATCATTAGTCTGACTACTTCAGTAACGTTACTTGTTTACTTCACGTTAATTATAATTCGCCTCGTCAGAAGGAAACTGAAGGAAATACTAGTAAGTTGTCCCGGCAGCCTAAAATATGCCAAGTTCTTGTCTCACCGTCATGTTTTGTCCACAGCACCCTACTTCTGGACAACAGCAGGCTTCCTGGACGGATCCGATGCAAAACCATCCTGTTTGAGATGAATACATTGCCCTGGACTTTGGCACTTCTGACGGCCTGACCTCTGTTACCAATATGTAAAGAAGTTTACCCTCCGGTAACGTTATGCTACTACTAAACAGGACCGGTTTAAAGGGACGGACCATTTTACTTGTCGAGAGGGTTGGTGGATCATGGGATGTTACGGTAAATGTTAGCATGGCAATTGTTCTCTGATATCATCTTTGCTTCGGGATATTCATGCGTTCTTGGGGGCCTCATCTCAGCAATTACTTAGGCCATGTTGATTTGATTATATGGATGACATCCGCGCGCGCATGAATTTTCGGCCGTTTCCAAAAAAAAAAAAAAAGTTTTAAACCATAATGTAAATCGTACAAAACGGTAGCAAAATGAGCAAAAATATGCCGTAAGTCACAAAAAATAAAAACTATACCAATGTCGTAGAATGCCAAAATCAAACGAAAAAGACGAAATTGTAAAGAAATGAACTTAGACTAGATTATTCACCAAACCATATTCTGTGCCATTTGTTTAACCTTCAAAACCACGTAGATTTCATAATGAAAACAACTTTTTATGGGTTCACCACACCACGAAGTGGTGTGGTGAAACCATATTGCTTTTTCTGATGTTTCTTCTCCTTCTCCTCCTCCTCCTGCCATATCTTTAAATGGATTCAGCTTCTTCATTTTAGGGCCTAAGGTCCTGAAATTTGGTATGGAGGTACAGTGGGCAAATACCCCTAGGCGTTTTTTAAATTATTGTGATACAGGCTTTTAGAATGGTTTTATTTGAGTTTTTTGGCTGTGTTATAGCAAATGTATTACTGTGTTAGTCTGCCTTGTTTACCATGTTTGGGCATGAGTCATCACAATGGAATGCAGGGCATCAACCAATAGGCATGCAGCTTTCCTCTATACTTCTTGCTGATTGGCTGTTGGGATTTAACTTGATCAACTCCTGCACAGAGCATTTCCACCTGCACAGAGCATTTCTTGCTGATTGGCTGTTGGGATTTAACTTGATTAACACCTGCACAGAAGCATTTCCATACTGACAGTATGTCTGTATTCAAGTGTTTTGGTAGGTATTTCAAGCTTTCCTGCTCCAGCATTGGAATGCCGGGCATGGACGTTTTTTTTTTATTTGAAAATCAACAGTTTGCATTATGCAATTAAAAATCCTAACCAATAAAGTAGGGAATAGCTATCCAACTGTTGTTTTAGTTGTATTTTACTTCATATTATAGTTATATCAATGTAAATCATTGTTTTCCCTTGTGTTTCCCATTCTTTCCCTGCCATGTCGTAAAATGTGGTGAACCCATCGCTGTATTTGCTCCAAAGCAAATATTGGCCTTTCTAGTTTTTTT